CGCCTTTCCCCATTTGGTCACAAAATCAATTTCATAATCAATACACAAGTTGTTTCTTCTTTTTTTAAACATCGATCATATTAACCACATAGCAAACAATCAAACGTAACGCCGGCTCGAATTGGGTCGGCAAACAATGTAATCGAAAAATATATCCTCTTGAAATGTGTATTGCCAATGTGACTCTTTTATTAATTTAAAAGAGTCCCTCTTTGTTGTACAAATTAAATTAGACTGCCGAAACAAATGAGTGATTAAATAAATAAGTTGATAGCGCTTATACGGCAACAAATATTACAGTCTAGCAACAAAATATAGAGGTATGAGCGCTTCTATTTAAAATAATATATTATTATAAATATGATACGGAGTATTATAGAAAGAAGAAAAGAGAAAGAGATGAGATATGAGATTACGAAAAAAGTCGCTTGGATAATATTGATTGATTACATTGTTATTTATATTATTATTATTTTAAAACAAATATTGTTATTCAATTGGTATAATAATTGCATTAAATTAATAAAACAATAAGTAATAATTGTGTAAATAAATATTGTTTTTAATCAAATGATAAACATGTTAATGCACATCTTACAATAAGACACCACATATTATAATATAGTAAAAAGTTATTTTTTTAAAAAAATAAATATTATTTCTATTAAAGCAAATAAAACATCCATGTTACTCATTTTTTTGATGTAAATGTTTGTTTTTAGAAATGTGTAAATATTTACAAGTCAGCGCTCAAATTAATTAAAATAAAACTGTTATAATGAAAAATTTTATATGTTGGGCTGTTTTACAAATTTTATTTGTTTAGAGACAATTAATGTTTGCTGCTTAATTTGAAAATTGCTCAAAGGGTTAAGACTTAGGACCTGATTTTGTGGCCTAAAAAGATTTAACACGTTTTAAATAATTAGACACTATAATACAAGTCAAATAGCATTATTATTATTATTATTGTATTTTATTATATAAACAATGTTTTAATAACAAACACACAACTTTTTTAGTTAAGTTCATTAGATGTACTTAAAGAAACATCATCTTTGTTATACTTCGTATAATCCATCTCAAATTTAGGAGGGTGTAATTCTTCTTTTGAAGGTTTTTTCCTTAGAACAGCTTTTTGTTTTTTATCTCCTTCAGTGCCTGTTTTCTTAGTCACTTTTTTCTTTGTTATTTTTCCACTTTTTGTTGTAACTTTTTCTTCTTTTTCGTTGTGTTCTTCTTCGACTTCTTGTACTGTTAGTATCTTTTTCATAATTTTTCCATTAAAATTACTTTCGTTTTCTTGAATAGTAGTTTCTATATTTTCAATTTCATTTTCAGTATCAACTTGTTTGACTAACACTTTCTTTTTTGTTATTTTCCCTGAAGGAATACTTTTTTCTATTTGATTACCGTTTTTGTCATCATTCAATTTAGTTACAATTTTCTTTGTCACTTTCCCAATTTTCTCTCTTTTTTGAACATCACTTTCTTCGTTGACTTTTTCAATTACTTTTTTACTTATTTTTCCTGTTGGAACTTTAAAGTCTTCAATTTCTTCTTCGACTTTTTTCTCTCCAATTGTTTGATTTGTTATTTTGTCACTCGAAACTTCTTCTTTTGTATTTTCAATATTTGTTGTGTCGTTGATTTCGGGCGAATCATTTTCATATTGCTTTTCTTCGATTATAACTTTTTTCTTAATAACTTTACCAACCTTCCCACTTGATGTTTTTGTTTTATTTTTTATATCATTGACGTCACTACTTATTTTTTCTATATTTTCTTTTTCATATATTTCATTTATGGATTGTTTATAGTTTTTTTCGTCCATTATTTCGGCCCTTTCAACTACCTTTTTGATGGAAATTTTACTAACCAATTTTATGTCTTTTTTACTCTCTTTTGGTGTTTCAACATTCTCCATATTGTGTTGAAGTTCTTTTTCATCACTTGTTTCTATTGTTTTAATATCGTCAATTGTATCTTTTTTGTCACCCAGACTGTCCTTCAGATTTTCAAATTGCACATCTTTTATTTTTTTGTGTTGTTCTATTCCAGAAAATGTTATCAAGTTTTTTTCGTTTTCGTGTGTGTTGTTTTTTTCAAGTATTTTAATGTCGTTGCTTTTTGTTGTGTTATTTACATTTTTCTTTTCTTCTTTATCAATTTGAATTGTTACATCTTTATCGCTTTGTATTGTGTTTTTTTCTTCTTTTACATCTTTCTTCTCTTTTTCTTGGTTTTGTTCGATCAAAAATTCTTCTGATTTTTGTTTTGCTGTTTCTATTAGAACTTCACTCTCTTTTTTGTCTTGTTGTTGGGTTTCTTTCTCTTCTTTAAAAATTTGTTGATTCACCTTTGAACTCTTTTTCAGATCATTGACATCTTTTATACTCCGTTTCTTTTTGTTGTTAACAATCTTCTTCTTTTTGATATCTCGACTATGACTAAAACAGCAGCAAAAACAAGAACCCTCGTCATCCGACATCCAACAACTTTTTAGTTCTTATAGTTACTGTTTTTTTGTTTTAGAATAAAAAATGTGTTATAAATAATTTTTTATAGTGAAAAATTAGTTGAATTATAACTGTAATTATCTTATATGTTTTAGATAATTGAAAATACAATATATAATATTTGAACGACCAACAACGAGTTAATTTAAATTTAATATTCCATGGAACTTGTTACAAATTAAAAAACAATATTCGATATAGAGACGTGACTTATTTTTTAAATAAATTAAATAACTAAAAATAAATGGTTTGTATTTATTATAAGTTAAACTGATATTTTACCAGCAAATTAAATATTATGATTTACAATATTATTTATAACAAATAAATATTATCATTATGTATTAATTATAAACAAAAGATCTTACAATCATTAATTGATATTAAATCTAAACATAATAATTGTTTATTAAAAAAAACAAATAAATGTTTATTTAAAATTATTCTATTAAAGGGTTTCTTGAGGATAAGGTGTATCCTCAGGATTAAAGCTATCCTTATTAAAAAATATTTTTCTGAGGATACAAAAAACAAATCCATAAGGTTCAGTTCCCCATAAAGCCCACTTTCATAACTCAAGTTATAATTTACACTTAATATTTCGAGTCAAAGTTCAAATTTTAAATGATGGTAATAATTTGTCATAAATGCCAAAAAAATAAATACAATCAAAAAATCGCCACAATAATCAGTAAACAAAAACAATAATTATATCTCGCGAACTTGAGACGGGAAATAATAAAGTGTGAATTGTACTTGTTCACATTATAATTATAAACTTATTGATATTATTTTCGAATCCGTCTTTATAACATAATGATTGAAATTTACATTTAAATTGATAATTGTTTTTTTATCAAAATGAAAATTGAAAAAGTCGAAAACACTGATTTTCTAAAAATGTGATTTTAAAATAACAAATTTATAAATATTTTTGTAATTTATGCAATTATTCAAATTTATTATAATAACAAAGTTAATCATATTGTGTATATTTTAATATGAATGTTTCATTTTGATATCAACTTGTGTTTTAAACAAATTTACAGTTCTGAGGATGGCAATTATTTTCTGAGGATGACAGAAATAGAAAGTTTACACTTTTACATCTGTCTGAAATGTATATTGAGTAAGGTACTATTTTTGAATATGGGAACACGTCATTTCAATTCTTAGATGTTTAAGTCTGTGTTAATAATGTCTGTTTGTTACACGACTTACCATCCTCAGAGATATTTATAGCACTGCCATTATTGATTTAAAATTCTATAAATAAAATTATCAAAGAATTTTTATAAAGTGAGTTTTGTTAATTGATTATATCAAAAATCGTCAAAACACAACAAAAACGCCAATTAATATATATAATTAATTAATAAATTGAACACATTTCTATTGAGAATTGATATTGTATAAAAAATAATAATATAAACATATATTTCTTGTGTGTATATGTTTTGAAAAATAAATAAAACCGTTTTAAACAAAAATGATTTTATTTTAAAAATTTGTTTATTTATCAATCGTTGTTTTATCGATATCCAAAACCTCGCGTTTTGAATTTGCGCAAATACATAAATTGTCATCGCATAGAGTATACATTATAAATACGTTATTTGCTATCAATTTATATTGTTTGAAATTTCATAAATTGATTTTTAATAAATTGTATTTTTTGTGAAAAAAAGATTAAAAATTGTTAGATTAATTTGTTTTGTGATTTTGATTAAAAAATCGACTTTTTCGATAATTTAAATGTCTGTCAAATGTTTTCCTATAAACCAAAGTTAGTCTTGTGGTAAATCAAAAAATAGAAGTAGATTATTTTTTTGTAAAAATCAACTGAAAGAATCATCTTTCAAAAAATCCATAAATAGCATTTTTAAAGAAAATCATGTGTTTCAAAATATACCTTTTTGATCTTAGGCAAAAAAATCCAAATTGAAAGAAATTATGTTTAAGATATTTACCATCCTCAGAAAAATTAACAATCCTCATGAATCCCTTAAAGACACTTTTCAATTAACTCGCCGACATACCTAATCCCCAACAAACCAATACTGTTAAAAAGAGCAGTGTTTTTGTTTTTTGAAAAAAAATATATTATACAGTGTATTTTAATTGTTGTAAAATGAAAATGGAATAACGAGTTCAAATCGTGAACTAAAAAACAAATGAAATGTGAAAAAAATGAAAAAAATATAAAAATTTATGACAAAACGTAAAAAATGGCAAAATAAAAATACTTGTAAAATGTAATAACATTTATTCCAAAACAAATAAATATGTTTTTTATACACTAAACAAAAAAAATTGGTTTTGAGTTGAAATGAAATACAAATTGCAAAAGTAACATGAACACATTAGTGATAATTAAAAAAACAGACAAAATTTATGTACACACAACAGTCTTTATAAAAAATATAAACTTTTCAAAAAAACCATTTTATTAACTGTGTATTTTTTCAGACAGTACGATGTAGCAAGATTTTTGACTGTTTTTTCTGTTTATAATATATTTTTATCATCTTTCGGTATTTACTATACTGTGACTAATCTTTTGAAGAGTGTTTATCAAAAGAATTTAAAATATAACAACCAATCATTAAAAACAGTTTTTAGTGTTAAATATATATTGTTTTAAAAACAATTTCCCTCTATTACAAATAATCCACATATTTTTTATATTGTTGTCTGACTTCTTGTCCAATACATGGACTGTTTAACCAATCGTTTGTTAATGACCTTTGATATTTTGATGTATACAGTTACTTATTTTAATAATCTATTGAAAAGAGTGTTTAAAATGAATAAAGTAAACCATAACTATGTTTCTATTTTTTTCAAACAACAAAAAATCAAACTTCTTTGTTTATCAATGCTATTTTATTGATTTATTTGGTGTATATTTTTAATTTTTGTTGTTTTTTTCATTATATGTAATTTATCTTTTTGTTGTCAATTAAAATTTTTAAATTATTATTATTATTATTCTTTATATTTGAATTGCTTGATAATTAATTGCAGAAACATCACTTTCTATAAAAGCGATGCATAATGGATTCATTTTATCGTTATTATATTTAACAACTATTTCGACTCTATCATTTTCACTATGACACAGAAGCATGTTACTCAATGTTAATAATTACCGCTATTATCAATGCGTCATTCAGTGAAAATAATTAATTCTGTTTTTTCTTGTTACCACTATTATTATTTGTTTGTTTTATCAAACACAAAAAAGCAATTATCACATTAGTTATGTGTGCTTTTTATCATCATTTTTAGATTTTATCAAAAATTTTCTTGGAGTTGGCATATAATAGTCTATCTCGATAAAATTAACTATATTTTATTATGAACAACCATTTTTATTAGTCATTGTTTGTATTTTTATATTATTAAAATTTATACCGTAAATCCGGAAATAAATGGTTCACCATTTCCAAAACAATTAAAAAAAACTAAAATTTCAAATTTGATTCTTTTTTAAAAAGATACTAAAATAATAACATTTTTAAATTCCCAAAAATGCAGAATGTGCTTTTTTGACTCAACACTTTTCAAAAAAAGACCAATAAACCACAAAAAGTATCTTTGAAAAATGTTATTTGGGTGTGTAATCCCCAGAACAATAATTCACTATTTAAGAACGCATGAAAAAGGTTTAATTATAAAGCCCAAACATCCTTTTGATACTCAGTTTCTTCCATTTTCAGTTTAACAAGAATGAATTTATGTTAGATAAGGCACATTAATCAAAGAAAAAGAAGGGGTGTTTAAAATGTGTGATTTATTAGCAGAAGTCTCCAAAATCGTATGCCTAAATCCACGCGTCATCACTTTTTAACCAAAAAAGAAATTTGCTCATATGAACATGAGTTTATAGTCATTCTCATCTCTTTTTTACCTTCTTTTTGGACAACACGATTTTGGAGACCCCTGTTTATTAGAATTGTAAACAAATACCACATTATGTTTTAATAATCAAATACATCATTTGCAAAAACGAACCTCTTTCTAAAAAAGTAACACAGTAGAAATTCAAAACGAAACAGTTCTCAAAACAAAGACAAACTTTGACAAAACGATAATTAATTTTCCGCCACATTTCAAAAAAATAAATACCTGTCAACAATGGGAAGAACGTTTTCTTTCAAAATGGCAAAAATTCGATCTTTCAGAGAGTTGATTGAAAGTGGTAAAAGCAAAAGGGAAGCAGCAACTATTTTGGAACTAAAATTTACCACTCTATTGAGATGGGACAAACAATATGATGTGTTTATTGTGCAAGCGAATAAAAATATAAGAAACAATTTGAATGGGCAGGGGAGGAAACCAAAAAATGTTGAACACTACGAAAAGTTGGCACGTTTTGTCAACAAAAAAAGAGCCAAAAAGAAAATCGTTACAACCAAATTATTGATGCAATACTTTTGCTCAAAAGTTGTTCCAAATCACACACCTTCACTTTTGTCAAAAAACAAGTGGTTATACACATTTTTGAAAAAGAAACATCTGTCCATAAGAAGAATCAACAACAGGATCATACAAACGAGAAAGGAAAACAAAGTCGACAAGAGAGAGGAAACGATTAACCACCTCAACACAATGAGTGAAGTGTGTCAATATTTTGAAGATGACGCAATAATAAACATGGATGAAACGGCTATAAAGTTGACAGATGCAGGAAACTACACGATAACGGAAAGTGGAGAACAACATGTTTCCGCGCTTCTTCTCGGAAACGAGAAGGAAACAATTTCTTTTGTGGCAGCAGTGTCAAAGTCCGGAAACGTGTTGAAACCAATGATCATCCTAGGGAAATTGAAAAAAGTGCCGAAAAGTCTTGAATGTGATGCAATAGTGGAAGTCAATGAAAGTGGGAAAATGAACGAGGAGCTGATGGTATCTTGGAATGAAAAATGTCTTCGTCCTTATATGGAAGAGCACCATATTGAAATGGTAGCTCTAATATGTGATGGTTATGGATCCCATCTCACGGAACACGTTGTTAAGCGCCTGGCTGAAGTCGCTGACATTTTTATACTCCCTTCCAACTCCACGGGTTTCTGTCAGCCGTTGGATTATGGTATATTTGGATGGTTTAAAACACAATCAAAGGAAGAGTATTTGAGATGGTACAATTTAAATAGCAATCGTGCAGGTCGTGTGACCCGTGGAGAAAAAAGGAAGGAGTGTATTATGAGATCTCTTCAGATCTATAACAGAATTCCAACAGAAATAAAAAATTCTGTTGTTGAGTCTTTTTTCAGGTGTGGGATTTGTGCTGGTACGTTAGAGGAGAAAAGGGTTAATATGAATCCGGCTTTGGAAAAAGTTGTTTTTTCTTTTATTGAGGAATGAAAAATGTGGTTTTATCAATTCCAAATGAATATTTGAATTAATTGTTTGTTTTATTTTTTATAAATTGTTTTCACTTTTGGTTAGTTTTTTAAAACTGCACTTTTGGGTTTTTTATTTGTTTTTGCGTTAAAAACATGATAATTGAACCATTAATTTATGGAAGATTTAAAAAAATGAACCATTTATTTCCTGAAAAAAAATGAACCATTTATTTCCAGATTTACGGTATAACTTTCGAGCAGGACACAAATTCAATTTAGATATTAAAACATTTTTTTGAAATTAAATACAGAAATTGAATATTTAAAAACTATAAGTTATTACCATAATCAATCTCAGTTGATTTTACACAATGACACTTTCACATAGAGATTGATTCAACTCATGGCTGGATTGAATGAGTGACATTTTTAAATATTCGCTGCGTTTTGTGGGTTTCTTTAATATATTTAAAAGTCAAAATTTGTTGTTATAAATTAATTGTTTCAAAATGCTACATTTAAGTTTTTTATTGTTAAATTGTGTTGTATTTATTAAATAATAAATCAAATGATTAATTTGATAACTTTCAAATTTGCTTTCTTTTATATTTGCCAAACATTATTTTCAATTACAAAATCAAACATCAAGTGGTCGCAATTGACTGTTTATGGGGTAATACAACCACAACAACAAAACTATATTACGTATCCGAAACGTCAATTTGATTAACGTAAATATAAAAAAACAACCATTGTTCGAGTTAACAAATATTTTTAATTATTTTTTTGTTTTTAACTAATGTTTTAGAAATGATACAAAATGTTTTTTTCAACTTTTAACAATAAATATTATATATTACTATAATTTGCTAAAGCCGACTTTTCCCACCAACTCTATATTATTTTGGTTGTAATTTTTGTTCTGTTTTGCTTTTAAATTTTTATATAAAAAAATAAATGCACAAAACGATTTTTGGTATAAAAAATAAAAATAATTCCATTATGATAATTTTATATTATTTGTTTTTATCTATTTTTTCAGGAAAATCACCTAATAATATTTCAAAATTTTTTAAACAGTTTTGGGACAAATTTTTAAAAAACTGCTAAAAAGAGCAGTATTGTGTTGTCGGCGAGTTAAATTTTGAAATATTAAACAAAATTAATATAAAGTTTTGTATGGTATTGTTAATCCGAAAAGTATTTATATACCGTGTTATTATTTATGATGGAATTGGTAATATGTATTTGGCTTATCATCATCATTTCATTATTTTAAATCATAAATATCAGATAAATAA